GAATTTTTAATAAAAATCGACAATGGGGGCTTTTCCGGCGAAAAAAAAATTTCTAATTGTTCTGGAAAAATTATTTTCGATTGCGGGGGTCAATTACAATCATTTTTGGTGAATACACATATCTCCGAAATCCTATCCACTTTCGAGAAAAAAAATCGAATAGGTATTGAAATTTTTCGGCGAAAAAAAAATTTTTCAAATCATTCTAAAAAAATTATTGTCGGTTGCGGGGGTCAATTACAAATATTTTGGGTCAATAGACATACCCCCGAAATCCTGCACATTTTCGAGAAAAAAATTCAGTAAGAGCGGAACTTTAAACGTTAATAACTTTTTAACAAATTATGTAGTCCTTTAATTCACCATCTTACAGTCTCACTTTTAGTTATATTATTTATATAATTTAGTCTGCTCTAAAAATCATGTTATACTATTTATATACTACTAGTTGTACAGGCTATCCAGCCACCCATGGGAAAAATTTTAATGGGAGATTCTGGAGGCCAAAATAAGACGAAAATCAAGAACACTAATTTGTTGATTGAGGCTTCGTTAAAAAGTTATAGAAAAATTTTCGGTAAAAATTTTAATTATTAAGCACGTTTCAGTGTTACTTAAAATATAAATCCATATTATTAGTACAATATCTGTTAATTGCTAAGTTCAATCATTTCAAAAAAATCCAACTACTATATTAATATTTATTACTTTAAAAAGAATCATTTGAAACAATTTTTTAATTTAATTGACTAGATTTGTATTCGTCTTATATATTCGCAATTATACTCTTACAATTTATTTTTAATAAATAAATTAAGGCGGTGGATTTAAACACTATAAATGAAATTTATTTATTAATTTCTCGTAAGAATTTTAACCAGATTATTTCCTATGTACACGATACTAATTATAATTGCATCAGTAATAATTCCTTTTATGATACAATTATTCCTCATTTTAAAATTGAACACATTTGGTTAATCTTTCGTCTATTTTCGAAAAATAAACATTCCTAGTAAATACTATCCAGCTTTTACAGCCCGATAAATTGTTTCAAGAAACGTTTTTCCCGTTTCAATTGTTACAGATGCATTGTGCTCTTATTTGTCGATCGATATAAACAGAGTTTATTTAAACGTATAATGGAACGTGAGTCGTGATCGATTGAAACGCATACACAGATATTATTCGCGATGTATTTCCTCGGTTTTTAAACAATTTCCCTAGACAGAAATAAACGCACTCTTGATCGAACGCTCCACAGTACAATAACATTAAAATTTTTAGGCGACAATTTTCTATTGTTCCCTACAACATTGTTACTGAAACAACTTCAGCGTTCATAAAAGCACACCGTGAATACAATTTTGCGTTCAACAAACTGCTACACGCGTGCCTTTATACTATATTCCATTTGAATGATTTATAAGAATTTGATTCAAAAATTGAAAATCAATCTGATGCATTTTTCATAAATTCGCGTTTAAAATTAAAACGTCGGAAAAATTTAAAATAGGATTTAAATAAATTCTAGTGGAAATGAAATTTAAAATGAAACCACTCTTAAATACATAGCACCAATAACATTTAAAATTTATCCATAACAATGAAAATTCATTTTATCAGTTGTTTGAACCAACTTTTTACAAATGTGCGTTCGAATGTAATAATTAGATTTATTGCTTTAGAAAATTTCCAAATACAGTTGTGCAAGAGTTTTGCTGTTCAATGTGGTTGCTAATTAGAATATTTAGTCTTCTTATTAAATATAATTTTGATATTTAAGTGAACTAAATGTACAAGGAACACAAATACCTACTATTTTTAATTAACGAAACTACAAAGAGTATTTATGTATTATAGTATGGCCAAAATAAATCGTTATTTTCTCACATGGTCTTGACTTTTTTCCTTTTCTAAATTAAATGGTTCAAAATGATCTTTTTTCAATATAAGGTGTAATTGGGTTATAATTCCCGCGGCGAGTAATGTTAGGGCCCGTCGCACAGTGGTCCCAAATGACGAAAAGTTGGCCAAAATATGAAGGAGTTCTTCAATTTAGCTAAAAATTTGTAGGTAGGGGTTATCGAGGTCGCTGATTACGAATCAAAAGTCATAATTTAAAAAAACAAAATGGCGGCTCCGATATAGCTCACACATATGCGAAAGAAATGTCGGAATTACCTGAAATTAGATACATACAGTGCGTAACAAAAAGTTGTACGCACCCACTTTTTTTCGATTATCTAAGGAACGAGTTGTGATCCATGGATGAAACTTTTATACAATAAAGAGCATCTAAAAACACACATTCTTATTATTTGTATCATCCAAATTGGAGCACACGTTCCCGAGTTGTGCAGTCGGAACAGTTTTCGGCTGGAACGAAAAGTTGTACGCACTTAATAAAACATTGTTGTAGAATCAGACTGGAAATAGACGAACGTCTTTTGTCGTTACAATATCGTCACTCGTCTTTTGTCGTTGCGATATCGACGCTCGTAGTTCTGATTCTACAACAATGGGAAGTGGTGCGAAATTATCCGTGGAGGAGCAGAACCGTGCATGGGAAATGTACGGTCGCGGACAGTCAATGAGACAAATTGGAAGAGAACTTGGTAGATCTGATGGAGTAATTAGAAACCTCATCAGATTACGTGAAAATTATGGAAAGAAGAAGTCTCCAGGGCGTCCAAGAAAGTTGGATGAGCGATCACTTCGGAGGATCAAGAAGCTGGCCACGGACGGGAAGATGTCTACACGCCGGATTTCCGCGGAACTGAAGAACGAGGTATCCCATACAACTATTAGAAGAAGATTAGTTGAAGATCCCAATATCAAATATCGGAAAATCACTAGAAAACCAAGAATGAAACCGCATCATAAAGAAGCCAGGTTGGTGTTCGCAAGGAAATACCATGCGTGGACGTCCGAATGGAATAATGTGTGGTGGTCCGATGAAAAGAAGTTCAATCTTGATGGGCCTGATAGATGGGATTACTGCTGGCAGGATACCAGGAAGGAACAACCCCGGAAGGTCAGACGGCAAGCCGGCGGAGGAAGTGTTATGATTTGGGCCGCGTTCAAGCTCGGGAAGAAATCGCGGATGGCATTTCTAAGCGGTCGACAGGCTTCGAAGGACTACATTCGCACTCTTGAAGTATTCCTTTTGCCTCATATGGATGATGGAGATACTTTTCAGCAAGATAATGCCGCTATTCACCGTTCGAAAGAGACACAAAAGTTTTTCGCGGACCGGAATATCGCGGTTTTGGAGTGGCCGGCTATAAGTCCGGACCTGAATATTATTGAGAATGTTTGGGGAATTATAGCCAGAGATGTGTATAAGGATCATCGACAATTCGAAACCATTGCTGGCCTACAGGACGCAATAATCGACGCTTGGAACGAGATCACACCGGAAGTCCTCAAAAAACTGATCCAAAGTGTTCCGAGGAGACTCCTTTTAGTATTAGAAAATAAAGGAGGTCCCATTAATTATTAAAACACTGTATCCATCAATAAAATGCGTCTTATATATTACTAAATTAATTTTTTATTAAGTGCGTACAACTTTTCGTTCCAGCCGAAAACTGTTCCGGCTGCACAACTCGGGAACGTGTGCTCCAATTCGGATGATACAAATAATAAGAATAGGTGTTTTTAGATGCTCTTTATTGTATAAAAGTTTCATCCATGGATCACAACTCGTTCGTTAGATAATCGAAAAAAAGTGGGTGCGTACAACTTTTTGTTACGCACTGTAGTTACTATCGAGGTTGTTGATTACGAATTAAAGGAAAAATGACAAATAAATAATCAATTGCATTTATTAAATGAAATGACTCAAAAACATCTTACGCCAATTACATATATACTGCTATGTTTCAAGGAGAATCATCGGAATCATATTCATTATCAGATATGTCGCTTTCTGTGCTGGATTCTGTTATTAACATTGCTGGTTGAACTAATAAATTTAACGCCTTTTCTCAGTGGTCCCAAATCCCGTAAAGTTGGCCAAAAGAGTATCGAATTTTATTACTGATAGTTTATACGTTTAATTACAAGGGTAAAAACACGTCGGATTTCGGAGGTATGTGTATTCACCAAAAATGATTATAATTGAGCCCCGCAACCAAAAATAATTTTTTCAGAATGATTTGAAATTTTTTAATTTAATTTTTTAATAACTTTTTAATGAAGCCTCAGTGAAGAAATTGATACTCTTGATTTTCGTCTTATTTTGGCCTCTAGAATCTCCCATTAAAATTTTTCCCAGGGGTGGCCGAATACCCTGTATAAGTAAAAAATCTAAATGAAAACGAAAGGCAATACCGCACAAATGTTTTATGTCTGTCATAAAGTAAGGCAGGTATAAGGCACAATTTATAGCTTACAGCAGTGCCTTCATATTATTTGATTCTTAGTGCTTTTACATGGCAAATGCGAAAAAATGTTTTAGTTTGGAATTCTCAAATTTTATTAACTATTTTCGAAATAAATAATTTTTCATGTAAATAGTTTAATGCAGATTTATAGTCAATAATGAAGTAGATCAACTGGTTCATTGAAAAATATACAATATTTAATAATGAAAAATTATTTATGCATTAATTTCAAAATTTATTAAATCTAATAATAAGTCCACCCAAAATTATACATTATTTATTTTAAAAAATTTGTTGTATCTGCCACAGTTTCCAAGAAAAAACCGCGTGATTTAGTAACGCGGTCACCCTCCATTATAAAATAGGGTGGTACGACGTAACTTGCAAAAACTTGCAGCTAATTCTTGCAAATTCTGCAAGGTGAAAGTATCACATACAAGCCTGAAAAAAAATGGCAGTGGGATCTTGAAGGATGAGCAACTTCTTGCCTACTTGTTTGCGATGCATGCATGAAATTTTACATTTTATTTTCAGTAATGAATGTACCGGTTTAAAAAATTAATGGATAACAATTTTTAATATGTTAGTACTCAGAAATGTTCTACGTACTTCCAGGAACAGCATCCATTTTGCAGAATTGAAATTGATGTCTTCTAAAAAAACTTATGCACTTTTCACTCTGTGGTACGAATTGACGCTTACGCTCTCGACAAACGACTGACTAACGAAGCCGAAGTTTGGATCGCAATTGCCATCCAGGTATAAAAATATGACTAATTTCATTTTCCCTACCCTAAAGAGACATCCTTAAACTGCCGATTCCAACAGGTAAAACCTCCATGCCGAAAAATTATTTTTTGGGGTTTTGGCCACTATTTCACGATTTGGGACCACTGTGCGTCGTGGCGCGTCGCTTCGCTCGCTGCTGCGGTTTTTTGTTGCTTGTGGCACGTGGTAAAGATGTAACCGCGTAAAAGTTTTTTACTATTATATATTGTCATTTATATTACTCCATTTGTGTATTCTATAAATATGTAACCTATTTTTTTATTGCCTATATCTCAAATAAACTGTGTTCATATAAACTACACGTTCACTCTAACCCTGCTGCGCCATCATAAGGTATTATTATTCTTTTGTTACTCGAACCATATTTTTTTGTATTGTAAACACAGCTAGAAATACATGTATCTAAGCAGAAACGAAACAAGTTGGAATACTTGTTCACAAAGTTTGAAAAACTACCATTTTAAAAGAAAAGTTAAATAAAATTGTTTTGTCTTGCAATGATAAAGTGTTGACGTCGATTATTGAAAATAAATTTTGTCCAAGTTACCAACAGGTGTGAACAAAATGCCATAAAAATACCGATTGCTTAATTAAAAATTGTTATTTTATTTTATTTTTTGTTGTTCAGAAATTCGATTTTTATAACGATTGTAATATTTCGTTTCTCTCAAATAATAAATAAAAATATTTTGCAGTTTCGTTAGTTAAAAATTGTACTGTAACGTGCACAGGAAAGTTATAGAAGCGTTTGAACACTTTTGCGACCGATTGTACGTTTCTTAGCGCGAATGGAAGGTATTCTTATAAAACTTCTGTTTAATGCGCATATGGAATGGAAAGTTCCTTCGTTTTGAAATTCAAACTAGACTACATTATGCAGAGTACGAAGTGCATGAGCGCATATAAATAAATATTTACGGATCACGGCTCCGTAAACCCACTTTGCATTCATTAACAAAGATAATAGGAAAGGGAACTTTGAAATAGATTCAAACCGTGACAGTGATTTCTGTCAAAAGCTGTTTCCAATTCGCATTTAGAAAATTTATTACGCACGAATATTAAACTTTCATCGTGAAATAACATTTGCATACTTTTATTCTTGGCTAATCTTCTGTAATAATATGCAAATATGAAACGTCAGATATTTCATTAGCAAATCAAAGACTCGTGAGAAGTTTCTAAACAATGCATTAATACATATGGATCACACTGATAAAATTATTCGCATCAAAGTTATACTTTTATGAATGATAACTATACAGAGTACTGATAATACTGAATAAAAAATGAGGAATACGATTTTTCGTAATAACGTCTCGTTTTCGAGAAAATTTATTTTGAATATTTATTAAAGACAACGTTGTAATTTAATAACTTCCATTCTACCGTCTTGTTATCGATCTAAGGTATACACGATCCACCAAGTCATTATCTAGATCCTAGACAACAAAGTTTTTAATTATAATCAAAGAAACAGTGAATTCACCTTTCCTTCAAAATACTAAAACTTTACTTCCCTTCCGACACAGCAAACCAGCATGTCTAACTTCATTAAACTTTAATAGACTTACTTCCTCCGCGTCTCACGAGCATGGCAATCTTTTTAAGAAACTAGAACTCGATAGAAAATTCTAAGTTTACAGAAATTAAGATACGGAAAATCTGTCCAATTTTTAACGCGTCTTATTTTTAAATATTTACTCATTTTTTGTAGATAAATATTAGCAACATTTTATACTTGCTACGATTTAATTTTTTTTGTTTTCAATCAGAATTATTTTCAGCTTATGCATACATTTATTCGATTCAATGTATCGTTTTATCTTCCCCGCGGTGATTTTTCAATTCCACAGAATTTCGATAATATAATATTATTATACCATTATTATTGTTATTTCTGTAATATCGGAGATAACGTTTCAAATAATTCTTTCGCTTCGAGCCACTTTTTCCCAGAAAATACATACCCAAAATTCAATAAAAGCCTCGACTCTCCATTGCATGAACTTTGCTTCATTTTGTTTGAGATTACATAACGAGCACCTGAGTCTGCAGTGATAACGGATAAATAATAAGATATTATATAAATTATCGCTGTGAAAATTACTATTTTAATTATAAAATGGAATTATACTTCACGACAAAGGAATAAAAGCTTATCTGAACAGCTGTTAAATGGAATGTTATTAAAATAAAATTTTATTCGTCTCTGTTTTACACGAAGCGTCCTTATTGAGTTTTTAAGCACGATTCACGAGATAAAGATGATTTTTTAATGAAATTCATAGTAGAATAACGAGATATTTAAATTTTCCAATAACCATTTGTTTGTTATGAAAAGTGTCTTTATGTAAGAAAACAATGGAAACTGGGCAAATCAAAGGTGATTCGTGGCCGTTATGCGTCGAACGATGTGTCGCAGTCAATCGTTCAGGCGGAAGTGTCTTTCCCGGCCTGGGAAAGTGTTCCTATCGATACTGGTGGAAAGTCCCCACGCAGTCCTCTTGACGAAGGCCTTTCAAGGGCCTTTGGGGGTGGTTTACGACCGGGCCTGGCGCCCGTCGCCGGGACCCGCTCCCCTACGCGACGCACAGTGGTCCCAAATCGTGAAATCGTGGCCAAAACCCCAAAAAATAATTTTTCGGCATGGAGGTTTTACCTGTTGGAATCGGCAGTTTAAGGATGTCTCTTTAGGGTAGGGAAAATGAAATTAGTCATATTTTTATACCTGGATGGCAATTGCGATCCAAACTTCGGCTTCGTTAGTCAGTCGTTTGTCGAGAGCGTAAGCGTCAATTCGTACCACAGAGTGAAAAGTGCATAAGTTTTTTTAGAAGACATCAATTTCAATTCTGCAAAATGGATGCTGTTCCTGGAAGTACGTAGAACATTTCTGAGTACTAACATATTAAAAATTGTTATCCATTAATTTTTTAAACCGGTACATTCATTACTGAAAATAAAATGTAAAATTTCATGCATGCATCGCAAACAAGTAGGCAAAAAGTTGCTCATCCTTCAAGATCCCGCTGCCATTTTTTTCAGGCTTGTATGTGATACTTTCACCTTGCAGAATTTGCAAGAATTAGCTGCAAGTTTTTGCAAGTTACGTCGTACCACCCTATTTTATAATGGAGGGTGACCGCGTTACTAAATCACGCGGTTTTTTCTTGGAAACTGTGGCAGATACAACAAATTTTTTAAAATAAATAATGTATAATTTTGGGTGGATTTATTATTAGATTTAATAAATTTTGAAATTAATGCATAAATAATTTTTCATTATTAAATATTGTATATTTTTCAATGAATCAGTTGATCTACTTCATTATTGACTATAAATCTGCATTAAACTATTTACATGAAAAATTATTTATTTCGAAAATAGTTAATAAAATTTGAGAATTCCAAACTAAAACATTTTTTCGCATTTGCCATGTAAAAGCACTAAGAATCAAATAATATGAAGGCACTGCTGTAAGCTGTAAATTGTGCCTTATACCTGCCTTACTTTATGACAGACATAAAACATTTGTGCGGTATTGCCTTTCGTTTTCATTTAGATTTTTTACTTATACAGGGTATTCGGCCACCCCTGGGAAAAATTTTAATCGGAGATTCTAGAGGCCAAAATAAGACGAAAATCAAAAGTATCAATTTCTTCACCGAGGCTTCATTAAAAAGTTATTAAAAAATTAAATTAAAAAATTTCAAATCATTCTGAAAAAATTATTTTTGGTTGCGGGGCTCAATTATAATCATTTTTGGTGAATACACATACCTCCGAAATCCGACGTGTTTTTACCCTTGTAATTAAACGTATAAACTATCAGTAATAAAATTCGATACTCTTTTGGCCAACTTTACGGGATTTGGGACCACTGTGAAAAGGCGTTAAATTTATTAGTTCAACCAGCAATGTTAATAACAGAATCCAGCACAGAAAGCGACATATCTGACAATGAATATGATTCCGATGATTCTCCTTGAAACATAGCAGTATATATGTAATTGACGTAAGATGTTTTTGAGTCATTTCATTTAATAAATGCAATTGATTATTTATTTGTCATTTTTCCTTTAATTCGTAATCAGCAACCTCGATAGTAACTATGTATCAAATTTCAGGTAATTCCGACATTTCTTTCGCATATGTGTGAGCTATATCGGAGCCGCCATTTTGTTTTTTTTAATTATAACTTTTGATTCGTAATCAGCGACCTCGATAACCCCTACCTACAAATTTTTAGCTAAATTGAAGAACTCCTTCATATTATGGCCAACTTTTCGGCATTTGGGACCACTGTGCGACGCCTTGGCTCTCGTCGTGCCCTTTGTCCAAAGGGGAAAGCGTCGGAATTTCCAACATTTACGTGGATTAATTTCAATATTTGCATCACAAGACATTTTCAAGAATGAAATACAGTTAACCACAAAACTTTTTTATTGTATACTGTTTTATAATTGGACACCGCTTGCTCGTTAATATTATTAAAAAAAGAATCGAAAATTGTCGGGGAAACGAACATAAATATATCGCAGTTTTGAATAAAACAATCAATATCTATGATATTTGTATATGAAAACATTTGAAACTAGCGTAATGTATTTATAACAACGTGCCTATTTTTCTGACATAAACTTCTGCAACAACAGAGAGTTAATATAAAATTCTATTCGGACAATTGTACAGGGTGTGTCGATTTTAGTTGAGATTATAACAATTTTCATAGGCACGTGGTTTAAAAAAGACTTTTAATATTTTTTTTTTATAGTAAACATTTAAAAATCATATTCCAAGTAAAACAAATTAACAAGTACCGCTTGAAATATTTCTCTGTGAGTTGAATATTTTCTACGATATGTGGAGAAATGTGTTTTCAATTTTATGCTGATACCAAATGTTTTGTCCTATTTTTTAGGCTTAGATTTTCGAGT